GCAGAGCTTACTGGAGCCAAAGTAAGAAATAAAATCAGACAGAAAAAAAAAGGCACGGCTAAGTGAAAGAAGGATTAGACATTTGAAATTTGGACATGCCGGTACTTTGAAGCTACTCAATGAGCTCCTGGATCCTTCCACCGATGAATGCAAAGCCTGAGCTAACCCTTGGCTTCTGCAGCCCCGGGTCTGCACAGAAATCCTTTCTTCTTCCAGAGAGAGGGGGCATTACCTTCCCTGCTGTTTCCCTAAGAACAAGCACATGGTGAAGTCAAAGGGAGGTTCTGAATGAAAACTGATGCTGTTAAAGCAAATGGAACCCTATCATGACTAAATCACAACCACAACTGTAGGAGGGAGAAAAGTACAAGTTTGTTTCTTCTCTGTGAATCTGTGTTCATCCAGAGATCTGGCTGGAGTCCAGCTCCAAAGAGATTGAATGGACAAATATCAAACCACTCCAATTCCTCACTGTCACCTCTCCCACGCCCAAGCATAGAATAGAAGCTCCGTGAAGGCAGGAAACGTTCATTTGTCTTTGCACCCCAGTGTCCGGCACTGGCCTAGAGAAAACACCTCCTTGCTTGTTGGATCGGACTGAATTGAATCTTTCAGAATGAATGACAAATAAACAATCCTGTTTTCACATGCCATGTTCCCCTCGTTGAATGTAAGCCCTTGAGGACTGGGTTTATCTTCTTTTTTGTTTTTGAATCTTCTGCCTAAAGGTACAGTGCCTGGCACACAGCAAGCAATTTTTTTTAAGTCTTTTGAAATAAATCAAAACTGAATTTCACAGAAGTTAAGTGACTTGTCCAAGGTCACACAGGTAAAAAGTGGAAGAGGCAGGATTCAAACCCAGGCCTTCACAGTCCCTAACTAACAGCTCCACCATGCTGCCTCATGTACAATCCGGAAAAGTCAATATTAAAAGAAGCTATGTGGTCCATACAAGGACAGAACAACACATCCCAACCAGGGATCACACTTGGGCACCTTTGCGCGGCAGATGATAGCTCTCCCAAATGTCTCAGCCATAGATGAAAAAGCGTCTTGAGAGGACTGACAAGTTTGTTTGCTTTTTAAAGATCGTGCTTTATAGCAATGGCAATACTGTAAGGATGACTGTCTGTGAATGACAGGGCCACTCTGATCAAGGCAATGATCCAAGATGATTTCACAGGACGCTCTCCACCTTCAGAGAGAGAACTGATGGACTCTGGGTGCAGGTCGAAGCAGATTTTTTTACTATGTTTTGTGTGTATGTGTTTTCTTCTGCAATATATTTTGCATGACTTCATATATATAATCGCTATATTGCTTGCCTTCTCAAAAGGTGGCCAGGAGGTGAGAGGGAGAGAATGTGGAACTCAAAATTTTTAAAAAGGAATGTTTTTTTTACATGTATGTTGAAAATATTTAAAGAAATAAATAAAATTTTTTAAAAGACTGTGTTTTACTTGGCAGTTTGAGAACACACAAAGCCAAGCATTGAAAAATCCAATGTTCTTTGCCATTCAAAATTGAATGTTGAAGGTATCAAATATTTTCAGAACCACATGCTATTTTCATTAACTTCCAGGAAAACTCTCATCCCTTTTGTTGACTTTTAATAATAAACCTCACATAGCAATGCTGGGTGAAGTTTTTATTAAAAAGTTCTCAGAAAAAATCATTTTGTTGGGCTGCTGACAGCTGAGATCTCAGAGTAAAACCAGAGAAGTGACTTTTCTCATTGTTTGCCCTCAACAGTGATAATGGTATTTGCACCTACCTAGCATGTTAGGGTTTGGAAGGCACTTTATATATAATATCATATTATGGCCTCCAAATCATCCTATGGCCTACTGAAAGAAACTGAACACAAAGAAGAGCCAGTCTTCGGGCGGGGAGGGATGCCCCTCAACTGGGGAATGACTGAACAAATGATGCCTATGAAAATAAGGGAATGTTGGTGCATGGTAAGAAATGAGGAAAGAAGCAGTTTCAAAGAAACCCGGGAAGATTTTATGAATGGATGCAGAGTGAAGTGAGCAGAACCAGGAGAAAATGTTATCAGAGAACAATGTTGTAAAAATGAAAACCTTGAAAAACTTAAAATCTCTGATCAACGCAATGACTGTCCACAATTCCAGAGGACCAATGATGAAAGATGCCACCTGCCTCCTGATGGAGAGGTGATGGGTTTGAGAAGAAGGAGATGGACCTCATCCCAACCAATGTGGGAATTTGTTTTGCTTCACTTTTTTTTTTGGTTACAGGAGTTTTTCTTTCTTTTCCCAATGTTGGGGGGAATGAAGGTGGTTAGGGATAGGATTTCCCCCGTCCTCAAAAAGAAAAGAAAAAAAGATAACCCGAAGAAGGCCAGAAAGAATCACAAAGAAGCAGGAAAGTATTAAAAGTTCCCTGTTGAGCTTAGATAATTAAAAGTAAAGCCTACATAATGGAGATTTGCAGTTTCATGCATAATCCTTCTCCAGTCTTCAATGTATATGGAAATGCTCATTTCATTTAGTGTTTATGAAGTTCAGAATTTTTTAAATGACATGAAAACAATCGCCAAGCCTTAAAGTTACTAAATGAACAAGGTATGTGGTATGTTGGAAAGAGCTCTGGATTTGGAGTCAGAGGTCCTGGGTTTAAAACTCAGCTCTCCCCCAAGCCCAATAGATTTTAGCAAATTCCCTCCCCTGTCTGGGCCTCAGTGTCCTCATCTATAAAATAAGGCATGTGGACCAGATGCCTTTCAAGGTTTGGTCCCGTTCCCGTTTTATGATCCCTATGCCAACAGCTGCCCCACAAGGAAAAATCAAAAAAATGGTCTTAAAATCTTAAAGCTACATTGCAGACACGGTCTAAAATAAGCCAGTTTCACCAGGCCCTCATGAGTCCAGGAACCACCAGGCATCTCCACTTTCTCTTCCAGAAGTCAGAGGTAGCCTCCGTGTCAGAACCATCATCCCTGCTGTGAGCTTAACCTAAGCCTCCTCACCTCCTTCTTCCTCTCCAAGGCCATCCACGGAAGGGGAACCAAGCTACACACTGACCCACCAGCCCAGAAAAGCAGATAAATAAGCCAGGTTCCTGCCTGAGTCACTCAAGAGGTTTTCATCAGCTAAGACAACACCCCCACTCTCTCCCATCACCACCACTGGGGCAAAGGACTGAGGTCCCACTTCCTCCAGTCGGGAGACCTCAGCACCGTGTAGGCCTCCCCTTTGCTTGAGAGCCCAGCCCTGACTTCATTCTTTATTCACAGTGGTTTCTCCCTCCCAGAAGCTCGCAGCCAAGTTAACTAGACTTTGGCCAACACCATAAAAAGGTGATAATTCTGCCACAGGCCTCCTGATTAATAAGGCCGGACAATTCACCTTGGAGGACCAAGGTGAGTGTTTTTGCTGCACACTCTGAGACTTGGATGTGTTTTCTCTGAAATGTTTCCAACTGTTTCATGTTCCCTCTTGTCTCTCCCACAGGGAGAAATTAATATAATATGATTCACCCAGGGTACATCTAAGTACTTTCCAAACCAGTTCAATCAAGCAAGCATTTGTGGTTCAGTTGTGACCCCTTTCAGGGTTTTCTTGGCAGAGATACTGGAGTGGTTTGCTATTTCCTTCTCCAGCTCATTTTACAGATAAGGAAACTGAGGCAAACAAGATTAAGTGACTTGCCCAAGTTCACAGAGCTAAGTGTCTGAGGCTGCATGTGAACTCAGGTCTTCCTAACTCCAGGCCTGGCCCTCTACCCACTGTGCCACCTAGATGCCAAGCATTTAAGCATCTACTAGTACATTTTCTGCATCATTGGCTTCTCAGCAGGGCTATTATTCCCTTTTTCACAGGTAAGGAAACTGAGGACTTGCCCAAGGTCACACAACTAGCTAGCAGCAGAGCCAGGCTTCAAATCCGCCTTTCAGCTAAAACCTTTCAAATGTACTGTTTCTCCCACCAGAGCGTGAGCTCCTGGACAGCTGGGACTGTCAGACTTAACTGTGCCAGCTGAAGCCCCAGTGCTCAGCACACAGTCATGCTTATTAAATGTTTCATTCATTCATTTATTCATTCATTCCTTCATTCATTCATTCCTTCCTTCCTTCATTCATTCCTTCCTTCATTCATTCATTCATTCAGAAACTAAACTCAGTGCTCTTTCCAGTCCAACCCAATCCAACAATTCAGGGCAAAAAAACCCCAATTCTTGCCCTCGTGGAGCTTACAGTCTACTCAGAGTTCTAACATGCCGCAGCTGCCTCATTAGCTCTTTTAAGGCAGGAGAGTGTCTCAGACCCTCTTACTTCACATAGTGCTTAGCGTAGTGAGAGGGACGGAGTAGGAGCCCAGCACAGATCCATTCTGCCTCACTGCAACAAAAGTTTATTAAATGCCTACTCACTTCTCAGCCTCAATTTCCCCATCTGTAAAATGGAGATGATATCTTCACTACCTACTTCCCAAAGTTATTGCGAGGTTCAAACAAGACAACGCGAGGAAAATGCTTGGCAGACCTTAAGGTTTTATAAATGCCGGTCACTGAGACCACTTTTAGCACCAGCAACAATGCTAGCTTGTATTCCAGACCTTTCCTGATCCCTACTCCTGGCGCTGCTCCCAAATTACTCTGAATCTTCTTTGTAGATGGTTTGTATTTTCTGATTACATGCTGTTTTCCCAACAGAACATAAGCTACGCGAGGGCAGGTTCTGTTTCATTTTCATCTCTACCTCAGGCCCTTGCATGGTGGTAGGAATTGAACCAATGTTTGTTGCATCAGTGAATTATTCTTACAAAGACAAAAACGAATCCCTCCCTAGCTTCAGAGTGCTTCTGGTCCATCAGATGTTTAATTACAAGCTGATGGGGATGGTTTGCTAGAACACCCCACACAGCCCAGTTGAGGCTATTTGCAGCACCACACCTTTGCTTTAGACCTCGAGGTAACAACCGTACATGACTAATAGCTGTAGCCTCACCAGCACCAACCCATGACCAAAGTCCTACCTTCTCTCGAAGGCTTGCAGTCATCCCAGCTTGGAATCACAGCCTGGAAGGTCCCCAGCAGCTGACACCTCAGTTAGAACCTTCTGGTGGGACAGGAGAAGTGGGCTTCTCCCTCAGAGATTCCTGAAAATAAAAGAGAAGGCTCAGCCAGAGAGCTCAAACACAAGCTCTCTTATTTCCCAACATTTCTTTGTATCATTGGTGTTTAGCCAGTGCCTGGCACACAGTAGGTACTTAACAAATGCTCACTGACTATGATAAACACAGAAGTATTTTTTTAAATTTAAAGTTTATTTTTTTCACATAAAAATCTATTTTTTTCTCCCACCTTCTCCTTCCACACACACACACACAAAACCCTTGTAACAAACATTCCTAGACAAGCAAAACAAATTCCTGCACTGACCAAGTCCAGAAGCGTAAGCCTCCTTCTGCGCCCTGAGCCCCCCACCTCTCTGTGAGAAGGCTGGGTGACACGGTTCATCTGCTGGAGGCATGGTCAATGCTTGCGTTGCTCACGGTCCTCCAGGTTTTCAAAGGTACCTATTTTTACAGCTCAGCCTAGAAGTCTAAGCCAAGAAAGCTGAAAAATAAAAAAGGTTTCTAACTTTGTCCCCAGATAGCCTAGCCAACGGCTGCAGTCTGGAAGAGTCATAGTCAAAGGCAGAAGTGAATTTCTCAGGGCCCGAGTGGGGGGTATTTGCGGGCGCTCTCCATGGAGCCCTAGAGCACCAAGGCTAACAGCGTAGTTCTGTAAGCGGGCAAGGGGCTCTGGCTTTGGCACCTGCTTCCTTCCTCTGGACAGCATCCTCACCCGGACTAAGAGGGATAAATAGAACTCACTGGGGTGGTGTGAACACAGACAGAGCCCCACAGGAGCCCTCCAGTGGTGCGTGCGAGGTCAACATTTAACCCCGCACCAACCCAGAAGGCGCAATCACGGCTACTGCTAACCTACTGTGTGACCTAGAGCAAGCCACTTCATCTCCGTGATTCCAGCTTCCTCACCTATGGGATGAAGGGTCGGGGGCGAGTGCTATGAACATGACTGATTCAACAAAAATTGAGTACCTACTATGTGCCAGGTGAGAAGCATGTTGGTAGAGGGGTTAGAGAGCTGGCCTCTGATACATACGGTCAGCTAGGTGGCACCACAGTGTATAGAGTGCCAGGCCTGGAGTCAGGAAGACCCGAGTTCAAATCTGACCTCAGACACTTAATAGCTATGTGACCCTGGCCAAGTCACTTCACCCTGTTTGCCTCAGTTTTCTCACCTGTAAAATGAGCTGGAGAAGGAAATGGCAAGCCACCCAGTATCTCTGCCAAGAAAACCCCCAGTGGGGTCACAGAGAGTCAGACTCAAGGAGGGACTAAACAATCAATCAACAATCTACTATGTGCCAGGTACTGTGCTGAGTCCTAGGGACACAAAAAGAGGCCTTGCCCTCAAGGAGTTTACACTCTAATGGGGGAGACAACGTGCAAACAAATACACACAAAACAAGCTACAAACAGGATGAACGGGAAATAATGAGCAGAATTCCAAGCCCATTAGCAAGGGGATGGGGTCCATGAGTGGCTATATTTCCAGCCTGGGCAAGATAAAGATGGTTGAGTGGGGAAGGGGGTGGGGGGTGCAGTGAAACATCACATGCATAATTAAGCAAATGCAAAGTAATTTCTTTCTTTCTTTTTTTTTTAAGGCGATTGGGGTTAAGTGACTTGCCCAGGGTCACACAGCTAGTAAGTGTTATGTGTCTGAGGCCGGATTTGAACTCAGGTCTTCCTGACTTCAGGGCTGGTGCTCTTTCCACTGCGACAAAGTAATTTCAAGAGGGAGATAACTGACAACCCGGGAAACCGAGAACAGCCCTTCATAGAAGGTGATATGGAAACTGCCATGAGAGGTGAGGAAGGGCAGCATTCTGGGAGATGCGGAGACCAGAATGGAGCAGGCAGCACAGAGACCTGTTAGCAAGCCAGACTGGAGGAATGCAGAAGGGGAGTACTAGGGCAAAAGCCTTAGGGGCAGGTGGGAGCCAGACTCCGGGGGCTTGAGGGCAAATTTCTTTTTATGGGATTTTCTTGTGTGTTTGTGTTAGTGAATTCCAGTCGCATCTGGGTTTTAGGAATCCTACTTTGGCAGCTAAGTGGTGAAAAGGCTGGAGAAAGGATGACCTCAAATGCCCCTTCTAGCATTCCTAGCAAAGATTCCTAAGAATCTTGGATTCTACAGAATACCTTTTTTCCCCCTTAACAAATGCCTGGAATTTATCTAACTGTGCTGAGTTCTAAGAGGTAACTGGCCATAGTGAATTAGGCTAGGATTGCCCACAGAAAAACTGGGGCTCAGGTCGTCCCTCTGACACTTGCTAAATATGTGATTCTAGGCCAGCCCTAATCTCTCTGCACTTTAGACCCTGCCTCAGCCCATCAGGACTTACTTCCTAAGTCATGGCTGGGTTGTGATCCCAGGTTTCCACACCCAGAGCTTCTCCTGCCCAGCAGATACAATCACAGATCCTGTCTGAAATCATACTAATAAACTCCAGGGCAGGGCATCATACAAGCACCTTAAATGAGACATTATCTGTAACAGTAGATCCTTAATAAATGCTCCGTTCCTTAATCTGAGCACTTTTCTGAGCTTAGGTCTGGTGAAATTAATAATCTCTAATAAATCCTTTGTTTTTAAAAGCATTTGGATAACTCACTTCCTTTTATATGGGGGGCTCTACACTGTGTATTATGGTGGCTCATGCTCTAATTAAGTGCGGTCTTGTTCATAGATTTTAACACCACATTTGTATCCCAATAATATTCACCCACATAGTACCCACCCTTATTATAGACAATAAAACAGTTAAACCAAACCAACCAATACAGTTACAACTGAGTATGTACCATTCCACGCCCATGGTCCACCACCTCTCTAACAAGATCTGTGTTTCAACATCAGAAGTCTGGTACCAACTTGTGATCATTATTTTAAAGCACTTAGCACAGGGCCTACCTAGCAGGCAGAAACTGCTCTATAAATATTAGCTATTATCATTATTGTTAGTATTGATGATGATGATGATGATGATGATGATGATGATAGCAGCCAAAATGTATATAGTCCTTTAAAAGTTGGCAAAATGTTTTATACAAATTGTCTTATTGGAGCACAGGAAAGTGTTGGAGGGTGGGGGGTATTTTGGTTTGCAAAGGTTTGATGAGTAGACCCATGGGGAAACACACTAATACTTCCTTTCCAGAAGTAATGAAAGTTTTTTTATGTTATTTTTCCCCCAAAATAATGAAAACTTTGATCCGATTGTGGTTTCAGAAATGGAAAGGGACGGGGGAGAGGAGGAACAGCTTCGGTCAGCCTTAAATGGATGGATTTGACAATGGAGAGAACGAGGCAGCCCAGGGTCGGAGTTCTAAAGATGAAAGGGTTCAGCCCTTGGGGCATGGGCATGGCAGAAAACTGCCAGGGAGTGAAGGCAAGTCTGGCTGGGACAGGCTGAAACTGTGGGCTCAGCCCAGGGAGGAACCCAACCAACCATCAGCCCGGCAAGTGTCCTTTCTCTACACGCTTTCTTAGCAGAGCTCAGACTGGATGCCAAGATTCCTCTTCCCCACCCTCTCTGTAGAGTTGTAAAGAAAGGTCCTTAGACACCGCTGCGTCCAACCCTTTCATTTTATAGACAAGGAAACTGAGGCACAGAGCAGTGAGGTGACCTCTGTCCAGGGTCACTCGGCTACTAATCGTTTGAGGCAGGTTCTAACTCAGGTCTTTCTAACTCCAAATTCCGGGCTTTATCTAGGACACCACGGTGCCTCCCAAAATGCACTCTTGTGCTCAGAGGCAGACTCTGACCTGTGACCCCTCTCCTCCTCTCCGACTGTGGTTGGAATGTCCTCCTCCCCGGACTGGGGTCCTAGGACCTCGAGGCAAGAGGCCAGCTGTTGCAGGTTACTTCCTCACTGGAGAATGTCCAGGGAAGGCTGACCCAGGGCGGTGAGACGACTAGACCAAGAGTCAGTTAAAGGTGTTAAGGATGAAAGGCAGGATGCTCCAGCACCATCTCAGTGCTGCTATTATCCCCATTTTACAGATGAGGAAACTGAGGCTGAGAAAGAGGAAGTGACTTGTCCAGGGTCACACTGATAGTAGCTGGGTTGTTGGGGGGGGTTTTTGTTTTTGTTTTGTTTGTTTTTTGCCTTTCTTTGTATCCCTAACACTTAGCACAGCGCCCAGAACTTAGTAGGTGCTTAATAAATGTTGGATGACTGTTAGTTGACTGACTTGAAGTGTCTGGGGTAAGATTCAAACTCAGGTCTTCCTGATTTCAAGTCCAGTGAGATCATGAATGCAAAGCGCTTTGTAAATCCCACAGACTGCAGCTATTGGGAGGGGCTTGAAGGAAAGGAAGGTTCTAGACAGTGACTTGATCAGTGCAGGGAACTCTTGTGGTCAAAACTCCCTCCAAAGATGCAGGACGGCACCTCCTTTGTAACCTAGGGTCTTGGAAGGTTGTCCCAGGCACTGAGAAATTAAATGACTTGATCAGAGTCAAGTCCAGAAGCATTTATTAAGTGCTTACTATATGCCTTGCACACAGCTAGCATCAATTCCAAGTTTTCCCAACTCTGAAGCTAGCTCTCTATCTACTCTGATCTTTATTAAAAGAGGGATTTCAGGGAGCTCCCTGTGCCCCCCTCAATGACAGTGTATCTGTACAGGGCCTGGGAGCCCCAGGCCACCACCCCACCTGCCTCCCATCCCCCACTCTCTAGGTGCTCTGGGGCCTCGAGCCCAATTCTCCACTGGCCTCAGCAGCATAAGCATAGACCTGTCCCTCTGTCTATGAGTGAGTGAGTCATGCCTGGCCCGTGGCTTCTCCCCTAGAGTCCAGTTGGTGTGACCTGGAAACAAGTCCCAACAACCAGGCTGGAGAAGGACCCCCTGGAATAACACCGAAGCTGGGCCCGGGGGGCGGGCCGCCTCTGACGCTTCCCGAGGGTTTCGCAGCCATCCTGGACTTGTTTGACCCTTAAGAGACACTGGTCTTCTCAGCCCCATTTTAGAGTTTGAGAACACAGACACAATGGAGCAGGAGCCTCCGGGCCCC